GAGAGAACGCCTTAAATATGTAGCCGGAAAAAGGGAGAAAGAGACAACTGGAGAGGGAGGGAGGGCAGAGCTTTAAAAGGGGAACATCGCAGGAGGAGAAGAATGGGAGCGATATGAGAGGGGGAGGTGGAGCGAAGACAGGGGGATGGGGGGTAGAGGAGAGAGAGAGAGAGAGAGAGAGAGAGAGAGAGAGAGAGAGAGAGAGAGAAACAAGGTGAGAGGGGAAATAGATTAAAAGAGCAGAAGATATATGGAAGTGAAAAAGAAAAGAGGCCTGAGAGGAAATGAGAATGCAGAGAACAGTGGGATATGGGTGGGGTGAGGATGGGGAGGGAAATACATGCTCGGAACGACGCAAGCTTGTTTCTTTTGACCGTATTTGGAGAGACTGGCATAATATATTTTTAAAAGGGGTGATAAGGCCAAAAGACACAAAAAAGTAGAGCTGTCACCTATTTTACTGTTTACCTGTTTCAACTCAACACGACCTTGACTCAGAAATATGCTAGTTTCAAGTCGTGCTGACAAGAGACTCAGAGCAGAGTCATACAACTACAAGGCCCTAATTAATGAATTCTTATTTTTTTATGTTATTTCCTCTAAACTGCATATACCAGCCTACAGAACATACTATTCATTTTCTGGCAGCCAAATTTCCACTTATTTCTGTATTGTTTGAACATCAACTCGTAGAGACTAGAAATAATTTTGTGATATACAGAATGTGATTATCTATCACAGGGAAAATGTGTTTTTTTTGTGTCAAAGTCACATGATATTCCTGTTTGTTAGAAGAAGTTCACAAATCTCTCTCTTGGCACTCTGACATCCAAGTTTCACAAAAATCAGCCGACATAGTTCAGTTCAGTTCAGTTCTTTAAATTATATTCACTTGCTATTAAGTCAGAAACTCAAAACTTACAAAAAAAAACATAAGCAAACATTAATGCACCAAAAAGTACAGCATGTTCGCTTACCGTTTAGTAAATCTAGTTGGATTAGTCCATTGTTGGCAATGTTGCAAATCAAGAAGCATGGAAATATGTCGATTTAAAAGATTTTCCCATCAGTTTAATTAACTACTTTAAATTGTCAAGTACTAAATTAGCCTAAAACAGTCATTCCTGCTTGTTATTTCATCATTTAAGAGTTTACAAAAATGTCCTACATCATGATAAATATGTATATAGTGATTCAATAAGAGGACTTTATAATCATATCACTTACTTCTGTACATATGTTTAGTATTTGTTTATATTTATTGGTATAATAAAAAAATACATTCCTTCAAAGAAATACGTGCGTGTTTTACCGGATTACATTTTTTCTTTGGACATTTCAAAAATGCATTGAACAAAGATAAGAATTGTAAATTCAGTGCATGTGCACCGTGCCTCATGCCTCTTTATAAATGTTGATTCATTGTGTGTGTTCCCAGAAGGCCACAGAGATATCCAATGCACCTGATGCTTTCCCTGATGTCGTTGACAGCACATTCAGGAGGCCATGACACGTACATTAAATTACTTGAGGGGACGTGTGATTATGGATGTGTTGTTGTAGAGTTGTTAACCCCCTGTTGTAGTAAGCAGTATAGTAGTAAAGAGAGTCCTTCAGTATAGGTTATAGATCATAGCTTGTAGACCAGTGAAAATATTTTCCTTTTTAGACAAGACTTATGGGACAGCCGTGTGCAGAAGTTCCACAATCTGTCCATTCGTCAAACTAATCCACACAAGCTCGCATTGCAATACAGCTCGTTTGTCGTGGCCCCGTGAATGGGATGCCAAATCACGTCCTTGTGGCTGCTCCCTTCAGACTGAGTGATGGGCTCCGAAGTGGTGAGACGTCGGAGGCGGGAGGGGGCCAGATCGAGCTGCTGCATCCTCCATTACTTGTGATGTCAGCACAGATCTGTGTTGTCACCGTGCCAGTGACCGCTCACTGAAAGAGGATAGAGAAGAGATGGTTGGCTCCGTCTCCTGACAGAGCGATGTAATGATGACTAAATGAGAGGGAGAAGAAAGGATGAGGGGTAAACTGAGGAGGAAAGTAAAAAAGAGGGCAGAGAGAGAGAGTCTCCTCTCTCAAAACACATGGCAAAACACATAAAATCAGTAAAATCAGGACACTGTTATTCAATTTTTATAGAGTTTCTGGGAACAATAAAAGAAAGCCCAAGGCAATATGTCTTCCATCATCAAAAAAAAAGAAAGAAAAAAAAATCTTTCAAACTTTCTCCAAATGAAGGTACAAATGTATTTTGTACTAGACTTGAGTTTTAAAATGTTGATATTTAAGTCGACCATCAAAGACAATACATTTAACGGACTCAGACAGTAGGTGGATTATACAAAGAGTATACGCTTTGTATGAAGGTCAGTCACACATTCATTGTGTATCTTTGTAAAGTATAGAACTCCATGAAAAAGACCCTTTTCAAACTAGAGCAATGTCTGTTCAAGGGCACAAATTCAAGAGTAAAACCTTTAGTTTTTAAACGTTCCTTCTACAGTTACTTTCAATACAGTCACCACAGGAAATGAACGAGTCTGTTTTTTTAAAGTGGTTAATTTAAGAATCTAAGGAGTAATCAATGATGCAAAAGCAGATTCTCTCAAATCCTCATTTTCACTGGTTGAGTTTTCACTTGATCTTCATGCTGAACAGCATTCCTGGAGAGGATCAAGTGCTTTGCATGTGTACTATGCACTCAGCCCATTAGAGTGCTTTCTCTTGTCTCCAATTTTTTGGGGTCTTGTCTTTTTAATGAGCTACACATGCTTCAAGCCTGACAGATCACATCATATTGGACCTAATGGCTTTGGGGACTATGCTTAGGAAGAGTTAATGGGTAAGACAGAAATACGAAAGAAGCCAAAGCTCCCCTCGCTGTAAGTCAAATATAGAGTTTGAATAAACTATCACATGTGCAGCAGAGATATTCAACTGTGAAACTTGCTGTTGGCAAATGTATTATTGATGGGCTGAGAGTGTGTTAACGTGTTGAAATGTTCCAGAGATTATTGGTGTCTCAGATGATCCCCATTGCTACCCCAACTAACAGCTGAGGTGTTTTTTTAACCTTTGGAAAGAGTCTGGATAGATGTTTCTACCTGTTTCCAGTCTTTATGCTAAACTCAGCTAACCATCTGCAGGCTGTAGCTTAACATTTACTGTGCAGACATCAGAGTGATGTAAATCTTCTCATCTAACTCTCTGCAAGAAAGAGAATAAGTGCACTTCCCAAGACGTTGAACTATTCCTCTAAGTGTTAACAAATGACTGATTCTTTTTTGTCTTTGGTGTGGAAACTTTTTACACGTTAGTGCTAATTGTCCCGATGTGTCTCTGCTGTTGTTTGACTTGTAGAATGTCTCGCTATCAGAGAATATCCCACTTTCAGACAAATCACAAATCACACACTGATGCACACCCAGAGGTGAAAAGCTGATAATTGACGAGTGTGAATTTCCTGCCCTGGCATGATGGTGTTTTTTATAGATCCTTTCTTCCTAGAGGCCATTTTGAGATCCATTATCTTCCTCTTCTGCCGTTTTTCTTTTCCCCTTTGTCTTTGATTGGTGTTTTTGTGTGCTTCTTTGTCTTCCTTGTGTTCTTTTTTCAAAGCACAGATACAGAGCGGTCTGTCGCGGTGTCCTTGACTGAGCTTTCCAGCATGCTGGATGCACACGTGTGCGCTGTATCGTCTGTTGTTATACTGGAAATATTGAGCGGAGTTTAGGAGCAGAGTTTAGGAGCAGACATGTGGCCAGGCTCCTCCTGGCCACATGTCGCAGTGTCCAGTCTATAAAATTTCCGAAAATAGTGGAAAATGCCAACCAACCAAGGTTATGTCATCAGATGACTTGTTTTGTCCGATATAATCAGTTTACTATCATATATTACAAAGGTATAGCATCAAATCCTCACAATTTAGAAGCTGGAACTAGATATTGTTTGGCATTTTTTCCCCCTGTAAAATTACATAAACAATTAATCAATTTTCAAAATAGTTGCTGATTCATTAGATTAATAGACTAATAGTTTTAGCTCTACTCTATTGTATGCATAATGAAGCAGAGGGTAGGTCTATATCTGGGCCTGGGACAGATAATTAAGAGTGGTCTTATTCTGAGAGTAGATTTAAGAAAGAGGATGTCTCGGGCTACCATTAGTGATGATAATCATCCTCACAATTACCATAGATTATAAATGAGAAATTTGAAATTTGAGGGAAATCCGAGGGGTCAGAGATCAGCACTCCTAGCCTTAAATTCTTGGCAGATTTAGTTGCAGGTTTATTTGTCATCCTCCTGCTAAAAAGCCGACCACATCAGTGTGTGTCTGAAAGCCAAAAGAAATGCTATCAAACCTGCTCACCTTTCACAGTGACTTATAGGACTTAGAGGCATGTCTATCTGTCTATCTGTTAAAAAGTCTGCCCCCTGGGCCGCTGCGGGGTGTGGACAACCACCAGTAGGTGGTCCTAACTGTTCAAACTGTGGAGTGATGGGCTTACAACAGGGACTCTGAAAGCCAAAGCAAATAGACCTGAAGTGAATTTTAATCTCACATGCGCTCGGTTACTAAACTGGCAGATCGCTGCTGCTGCCGTCCTGCAGGAGTGGAGCACAAAATGATTAATGACCATTAACTATTTTTGTCTGACTGTTTTTTTCTGTCTTTTTTCTTCCTCCTTTCTCTCACACAATACAACGTTAATCTCCCTTGAGGTTGTTTTTGATATATTGACTCGAACACTTTCTCTCTGTTGCTCAGACACAAACACACAAGCAAATAGAGGAACCGTGAAACGTCATAAACTGCAGCGCCTTTGCTGCAGTGTTTTGCATTTCAGATTAATGATTCCAGTTTTCTCCTGAGGCCATTATCCTGATTTGAAACAGCCATTGGTTTGTTCAGCCAGTCACTGTCACAGTTTAGACAACTTTTTTTCTGTTAGTTGTAACGTGTTGTTCTCTTCTCTCCCTCTACAGATTTGCCTGTGAGAAGAAGATATGACGTTAGCGGGCTCACTTTGGATCCTTTGGTTTCTCCTGGTGGTAAGCTCGCAATTTTTAAATTCAAGGAATGCTGTAAGGTAAACTTTCCCTTCTCTTTTTACCCATTATGTATGCTGCACACGTGCGTTTAAACATAGGATTACATTTTCATTCAATGGACATGTAATATGATGTGGTCTATAGCGGTTTTCTTTTCTCAGAAAAAGATCTCATGATTCATTTTCACTCACCATTTATAATTACAGTTTATAGTTAGCTCAGCTTGTTCATTACAAACTTAGATGACCAAGAAGAGAGTATGTGATCCATGACTGCACGTTTCTGCAAGTTCTTACTATATGTGATCCTTTTATGCAGATGATGTCCGGTCTATAATGTCTGGCATTTTGCTTGCATGTATACTTGTTTTGGATGAAGACACAAAATTAAACTGTCATATCTGTAATACCTCATCGTGCATTTGAAGTGGGTTTATGCATTGTGTTTTATTGTGTACAATATATATATATATATATGTATATATATATATATATAGGAATGAAAAAGTCTGGAACAAAATGAAGAAGCAGAAGCTAGCCAAAGTGCAATGCCCAAAATTCTTTAAACTGTTAAACATAAAACATTCCCCTTCTACATTACAAAATATTTATGATCCTAAAAATACTTGGACAAATTGGAAATTTACAACCACAGGTGTTCATCTGTTCCCTTTGAAATAACAGTATCTGGGTAGTACACATCAGATTTTACAGGTGCCCTGTTCATAATTTAGTGCAACCACATATACAATTCCTTTCAGTCCTGCACTAATATGCCACAATCTTATATATTGAAGCATAAAGCATAATGTGTGTCTGTATTTCCTGAAATGCATTGCTGTTGGTGGTTTGTGCCCACCAAATATAAAGTGTTATCTTTCATCTGATTTCAAAACAGCTTGGGGGGTTGAGTCATATTCACAGTGCGCTCCAGTGTTTTACATGAATTAGCTTACAGCGATGTTGCAATCATTTTGGTACTATATTCTGTCATTTATAATAGGCCGATTTGTCAGAAGAAGGGGTTATAATTAAAGAAATCAAACTTTGAAAAGTCCTTTTGATGGACTCTCTTCTTAAAAATAGCAGTACACCAATTGGCTTGATGAGGATTCTATATAATAAATGGTATTTTAAACGCCGTGGCTCTAAATTATTGAAAAGATCAGAGACAATATTCACCGTGTTCCAGAATAGAGGTCTTTCATGAGTCATTGTCCCTAATGAAAGCAAAACAGTTGGTCCACTATTCTTCAGTGTCAGAGATAATGGAAGTCTCGATTGCCTTTGCTGTTAAGTATCACGCTTGACTTTGAGTTTCAGAATAGTATCATGTAAAATGTTTTCGACCTAATGTACCGTGTTCTTCTTTACGTGTCTGTGCTTTCTTTTTTGAGTGGCCTTGTCATTGATTCAGGGAGATGAATGGATTTTAGTAGGCGAGGAGAAGCCTTGACATCTTTTTTCTCATCTGTTGATATTGGTGGTGGCCTGGTGGTCGTATGTATGACGTCATTTACTTCAATGATTGGAGTGACATCATATGTACGGCTGCTAAACTGCTACATGGGACATCGGCATTCTCACACAGTTTTGTTTTTTTTAAGTACATATATTACAAGAGTTTATCAGACAGGTAAGAATGGTATTTTTGGTCAAAGAGACGGAGATCGGAGGTTTGCATCTCAATTATGATAAAGCACATGGAGACAATTTCATAGGAAAAGTATTACCATTCCTTAAATGATTTATTAAATGCAAGTGCATGAGCCTGACACTCTGAGAGGCTTAAATTTCAGCCCAAAGAATGTGTGAGATCAGTCACACAAAAATGGGCTCCTTATCCTTCATTGAGCATCTTCGTTACTAATGCTACCTCCAAATACAAACAATAGAGCAGAGATAAGATTCATTTGGAGGAAATAGGCTGCTTAACTTCTTTTGTGAGCTCCAAAACACACTTTAATGGGTTACATGAACAGTGAGTGACTAGAATTTCAAAGCGGAGTAAAATCCTCATCAGATCAGCTTTGAATTTGCTTCAAAAACCCTGCATGCATATTCTTCCATTTCAATCAGGAGAGACTTGTTTTATAATTTAACAATGATTTATTACACATGCATCAAATATGAAATGTGCAAAGTCTTTGGCATTTGGACTCCATCCTGAAGTAATATCAGCGAGGGTAGGGATACTGAGGTCCGATAGGCCTAATCCCCCCTGGAGTCCAGACACTGGTGGTGGTGGTGGTGAAAGGAGTTGCTGCAATCTGATAATGAATCAGGAGCATGACTGTGATGCTGACTGGAAGTGACTGGGTGGAGGAGGGTCGCATCTGCTTAAAGCTGAGATGACAACTGATAGCAGCGGAGAGGAGAACACTTTTCAAAGTTTGACAGCAAGATGTGATTGGCTGAAGGAAACTGTGTGCAGAATCTGGTTGGTTACTTAAAAGTGCACGCCCCCAATCAGCTGATAGAGTAATTACAAGGAGAGGAGAGACGGCGATTATGAATCAGTGTCTTCCTGACTGAACTTGCGCTTAAGCTTCATTTAATTTTTTTTATCTTACATAATGGTGCGTGTCTTTATCTAAGCATGATGAAACTGTGAAGTATTGTGAATTTCGATATCATCATCATCATCCAAGATAATATTTATGCTTTATCTTTGACAGTCAAGGAAATGTAGATCAGAGCAGCAACCACAACCTCCCTCTCTACACTCCATACTCTGTTCCAAGTCAAGTACGGACATGTTTTCTTCCCCCTTCCTCTCACCTCTTGTGTCATGTTGTCTCCACAGCGCTGGGTGGCGGGAGGCGCAGAGTCAATCTCAGATCCATCACTCAGGCCTGGACATAGCATGACAGATGGACATGGCCAGACGCTGAGCAAGGGTCAATATAAATGTCTTGAGCTCTCCCACAAAGACCACCAAGATAACAGAACCGGTGAGAGGCCCAACTCATTTCAAGGCTTCTTAAGGCCAAATGGATTACCTTTGGGAGAGCGTCACAGGTGTAATGGTGTTGTAAGGTGGTGGATTGGGAGCAGAACTTATTTAATATTCTTGTTCAAGGTAATGATAGTGTTGCCACTGAGGGCTTTTAGATTGGGAGCTGTAGCTGTAGGGAACAGAAAAGTGTGTGTTTGTAATAACACGGAATAGTCATTACACTTTTTTTCCTTTTTCTTTACAAGTTACCTTTTGTGGACGCATGTGGGATGGCTTATTGTGCTGGGATGAGACACCAGCTGGGACGTCTGTAACACAAAACTGTCCAGATCACCCAGACCTGGACCCAACTGGTAAGAAAGATAAGCCCTTCTCACACAAATACACAACAACAAGCTCCCTGACGTTTTTAATTCCAGTTCAGCAGGCAACATAGAAAACAATCCAATTTCCTGTGTGTGATGGAGATCAAAGGTCACAGGGCTGATTGTATGACAAAAAAAAGGCCCACTGGCCAGCATGGGACTTCAGGAAGCTAGGAGGATTTTATTTTGTATTTGATGTGCAACAGTCAGGTGAGAGATGGTTTTAAGATTCTATCAACTCATAATGCAAGAACGGCAGGTATTGTCACGGTGCCAGTACAATAATATAATATGGTTTTAAAATGTAATCAAACTACTGAATGGCATTAGCTGTTTTATACATGCTTCACAATCACTAACTCATTCGTCAGCTGTGTGGCTACCAGCTGACTTGTAACTCCCAATAAAATTCATTCTTTATTACTCTGCTGATCCACCATCCCAACAGCCTCCTTATATTTTTGGTATAGTTGAATTAACTAAGATGTAATGTCCACATGTTTATTAGGGAGGGTTTAGTTCTTCAAGCAGAAATCGTGTTGCTGCTCAGATTCTTTAGATTCGTTCTGCTCCCTCAAAGAGCACTAAAGCTAACCACAGTATTTAACACTTTACTATTCATGGTCAGTTCCTTAATGCAAGTGTCTCCGACTAAAGCGTATAATGTAATTGCATTTTATGCATCATGTCCAAAGCAGATATGATTTATGTTGAGATGTAAGTGTATATTTCCTCATTTAAAGGAAGATGTCATGATCAATCATTACAAGTACCGGTGCTGTAGTGCTTTTGCCCGTCATTTAAAACAACATAGCCAGTAATGTGACATATTTTTGGGTGTCTTCTGTTCTGTTTTGTAGGTCATACTCTGTGTTGATTGTTGTCCTTATTAAGAGGTGCATTATAAAAACCAAGTCCTTTTATTTCCATCACTTTGGTCCTGACTCAAATACGTCTTGAACTAGATTGTCAAATGCGGTACCAATATCCATTGTGCCCAGAGGATGAATCATAATAACTTGATCTACGCCCATCAGAAGGTTAACATTTTCACTTGAAATATCTCAATACCTACTGGATGGATTGGCATCACATTTTGTACAGACAATCATGGTTCCTGAGGATGTAATGAATTCGATGATCTTAGCTTTTTTTTTTTGTGCCACCAGGTGCACATTTTGGGTTTTGAGGTAAATGTCTCAAAAACTATTACAATGATTACCAGGATAAATTCATTATGGCAATCCCTTGACTTTTCATTTAGTCAAGATTTTAATTTGTTTATTATGTTTGTGTATGATGAAATAGCTGCAGAACTACTGACATTCCCATCAGCCTCAGCTGTACTAAGCGCTTATAATATTCTAAATTAAGATTGTGAACGTGGTAAACATTTCACCTGCAACCTCAGCATGTTAGCATTGTCTTTCTGAGCATGCTAGCAAGCTAACCTTAGCATTTAGCTCAAAACATTGCAGCTAGAATGGCTGACTCTTGGTCTTCTTAATAACTAAAGGAGGAAGACTTGCACAACAGAGAGTGCAAAGGAAAGCTAGAACACGATAGTCGTAAACTAGATACAAGGTAAATCAGTATGTTTTATCAACCAGTCTGAATCAAAACAGACATACAGTATATTTATATTGAATTTGACTCGATCATGTGATTTTGGATCGCGGTGTACTACACTATGAGCAGTGTTTTCATTGTGAGGAATGCATGGCTCAATAATGTCTGGTTGAAGAAATCCAGACTCGAGTCATGTCTGATTTAGGAGATGCAGGGGAGTGGAGGGGGGGGGTTAGGAAGAGGACAGAGATAGACTGCAAAGAAAAGAGGGCTTACAAAAAAAACAGAGAAGTCGGAGTCAGAGAGATGGATGGGGAGAGAGAATATGCACGAGAAGAGAGAGATTGTGTTTTTGTAAGACAAAGCTCATAAAGGATATTCTCAAACTGCCTGTGACGTTAAGAGTCCCCTTATGGCTGCTCATTTGAAAGCCAATGCTGCTGATATGAGGCTTCAGGTGGAGACGTACAGTTGGAAGTGGATGCCGAACAGTTGATGAGCTGACGAAGAAGACTAGGCCGCCAGGCTACGGTTGCTGTTGTCAGGACCAATGTGATCGCATTCTTAGCCCAGTCACAGATCTACAGTACAAGTGGTTTGAAGCTCAGCGTTTGAGAATTAGCCAGAAAATTTCTCCAAAGAGGGTATTTTCTGTTTGACAGAATGTTTGATAGTGCATGCCACGTTCAATTAATCACAGTTGCTCAGTAATGCTAAAATTCAGGTTTCAATTTTTGTGTTTGGATGATGCTGAAAAACAAAGACGGAGTAAAGAACATGGACGAACCTAAAACAGAAGCATTAATGTGCCAATAAGTAATTTGATTTAGAGCTTTCAGGATAACCATTGATGAATTATTCTGTTGTCAAGCTGATGTGAAGTAATTGCATATTTTGTTATTCTTTCCAGAAAAAGTGACCAAATATTGTGCCGAATTGGGTAACTGGGTCCAGACTGGGTCCACTTGTCAACCAGCTTCAAAGAACAAACTAGAGGTATATTGTGTTACTGGCTTTTTCCCTTTAAGTAATGGAAGAACCAGATGAAGCTATAGTCTCAGCTGCCCTGTACACTAATTTCCACGCTGAACTTTCCTTTTTTTAATTCTTAGAAGGAAGTCCCCCATTGTTTAAGGGATGCTGCTGGAGAGCCGGCCACAGAGGTCAAAGGGGTCAACACAGAAACAGGTGGTGTTGTGGAAAAAATGATCCTCGAGAACGAAAAGAAATGCTCAGAGAAAATGAAGCAAGATCCATCTCATAATGAATCAGGTAACACTCATGCGTAACTTTGATCTACCGCCAAATTATTTTATTATGCATCAACATGATTTGTACATGAGAGTTCAAAACTTATGAACAAGAGGCCTGTAAATATATATTGTTGGTGTTACAGGGCTGTTCTGCAGTCGTAACTGGGATGGCTGGCTGTGCTGGGACGACACTCCAGCGGGAACCTTCGCCTCCCAAAACTGTCCAGATTATCTTCTTGACTTTGAACCCACAGGTGAGAATTTTGCTTTTGTTTTAAAGGTCGTCTGATATCTTGTTAATCTCTTCTGACCTTATTGTCCTGTATTTGGAGAAGATTGACTATAAAGTTGCTGTGAGGATTGATTTGTGAATCTAATTGGAACACAGCTGCACAGATTTATAGACTGAATGTAGAGAATTTGTAACATACAGTATAATTCATCACATATTTGTTCTTTTTTAGAAAAGGCCACTAAGTACTGTGGAGAAGACGGGCAGTGGTTTCACCTTCCAGAGAGCAACACGACTTGGACTAATTATACACTCTGTGCTGTCAACAATAAGGAGAGGTTGAAGGTAATGTATCCTGATGTACTGTATTAACTATGCATCCAGGATTTATTGTACAGATTATGATTCTCGGTAATTAAGCTTAATAACAA